GAAAGATTTTTTTTTTCCTTTTTGTCTTTTCTACTGACCGGTAATGGGATCGCAACCCTCAGTGTCGCGCCCGTACCGGGGACCGGCAACGGGATCGCAACCCTCGGTGTTGCACCCGCACTGCGCTCAGCCAGTGAGCGGGAACTGGTCTCCACATGAGATCCGAACCCTCGGCGGGAGCGCCGCCACGCTCCCAAGCGGCGCACTCTCCAGTGCACCACCGGGCCGGCCCTCTCTGTGCACTTTTTAAATTGAATATCATATCTTCAAAATTTTTCATGTCACAATTCTTTAATGGCTGTCAAATATTCCAATTTTGCCCATAGCCCAGAAAGCATAAATCTGTGTATTAACTTTTTGCTTCTGTGAATTACTTCCTTAGAATAAATCCCCAGGTGTGGGATTACTTAGCCAGAGGATATACAACTAGGATTTAACAACCAGAAACAGATTTTTTTTCTAAGAAAGACATGACCCACAGTAATTCTGTTCTCCTTCATCTTCTGGAACTGATAAGTGGACTGTCTAGAGTTGTGCTGTCCATTACGAATACCATTAACCACATGTGACTGTTTAAATTTTAAATTTGATTAATTCATATAAAATAAAATTCAAAATTCACTTCCTCAGTTGCACTAGCCACATTTTAAGTGCGCAATAGCCAAGTGTGCTTCATGGCTATTGTATTGGAATGCACAGATATAAAACGCTTCCATCCTGTAAAGAGTTTACTGGACAGTGCTTCTCTAGAGTTTCTCAAGAGGTCACTGTTGACATCTTGGGTGGGAGTTCTTTGTGGTGCAGGACTTTCCTGTGCATTGAGAGGCTATTTAGCATCTCTGGTGCCATGTCCACTAAATGCCAGTAGTGCTTTCTTTTGAATCAATGTAACAGCTAAAACCTGGCCCACATTTGCAAATACTCCCATAAGAGAAAAAAAAATAACCCCATCTGAGACCCACTGAACTTTTATCTTGGAAGAAAGCATCTTCTAATTTTTTTGGAATGGCTTTAGGTTAGCTTTGCCAGGAGAGAGGGAGGATTGGAACAATGGCTTAGAAAGAAAGCCTTGGCATAGGGCCTAAGTAGGGCCTACTCCATTTCCATTTTCTTCCCTTCTCCTGCTGGCTTATTTCCTGCTTTGGGGGATTACAGGAACAAGACCCTGCAGATGGAGAAGATCAAGGCCCGTTTGAAGGCTGAGTTTGAGGCACTTGAGTCAGAGGAGAGGCACCTGAAGGAATACAAACAGGAGATGGACCTCCTGCTACAGGAAAAGATGGCCCATGTGGAGGAACTCCGACTTATTCATGCTGACATCAATGTGGTATGTGGCTGGCTGCCCGGATCCTACCACTGGGCCCCTTGAGGAAGAGGCAGTAGTAAGTTCTGTGGCCTCTCTTTGTGATGAGGCTGTGGCCAACCTAGGGCAGCAGGCATCAGGCTGTGGTGGAGTGGAAGAATATAGGAGTCCTGAGACCCAGCCCTGGCTTTGTCACTGACTGGTTGCATATCACAGGACAAGTCCCTTCTTTCTGGGCCTTGTTTTCTGTCTCTGCATTATGAGAGGAACTCAGTAACCTTTCAGAGCTCTTTCAGCTCTGATGTGCTCTCATTCTGGAGTCTGGGAGTTGATTGCTATCCTTGAGTAAAAGCAGAGCAGGTCGCTGCCTCCCAGGTGTAGCTTAAAGTACTCCAAAGCTTACAACCAGACTGAACAAGTCATTTCTGCCTGCCTACCAAAGCCGCCCTCATTAATGTTTCTCCTTTGGAGACTCTTTGAAATGAACTATCTGCTAAGGTGATAAGCTCCCCTCTTTTGGAGTTATTCAAACAGAGTCTGAATGGTCACCTGTCTGGGCTACTGTATTGATGATACCTTTACCAGGAAGGAAGCTGGAGGTGCTGACCTGTAAGGTCCTTTCCAATCCTTAGAGCCTATGACAATGAGAAGTATTTTTTTAAAATTATTTTTGAAGGAGCTAAGTTTCTGTTCTTGGGAAACTCATTTCTGTGGCAATACCCATTTCCTGATGTCAGGCCTAGGATCTTAAAGGAAACATAAATAAGGTTTGGACATTAGGCACTTGGGATTTTCTGAGTTAGAGATAACAGGATTCTGGGTCTCATGAGGAAATGGCAGTCTTGCTGCCAGCTAAACAAGAATATGAAGGCAATGAAATGAGCAAGATATTTGCCACACAGGGGCTGAGAATCTAAGGTCAGTGGATTCAAATTTGAGCATGCGTCAGAGTCACCTGCAGGGCCTGTTAAAACACAGGTTGTTGGACTTCACCCCAGAGTTTCTGATGTAATATCTCTGAGGTAGAGCCTGAGAATTTGCATTCGTGAGTTCCCAGATGATGCTGATGCTGCTGATCTGGTGATCACATTTTGACAGCTATTGATCTAGCAAAAAGCCCACTGGCCTGAGAAGCAGAAGCCCTGAGTCTTTATCCAGCCTTTGCCCCTAAGAAGTATTTCCCTGGGAAAGTCCCTTTGTCTCTCTGAGCCTCAGTTCTCTGACCTGTACAATAGTGATAGGGTGGACTAAATGAGCTCTAAAGGACACTGCAGCTCTAAGATGCTATATTTGAATAATAAATACTATTTATTGAGTCTTTATTAGCCCCTGTACTGAGTGCTTTATATGAATTTGGTCACCAAATCTTCACCAAGATTGCATGCGGTAGGCACTATTACTATTACCATTATACAGATTAAGAAACCAAGGCTTGACCAGAGTCACACTGAGAGGACATGGCAGATTAAGGACTTGGACATAGATTGATCTGGCTCTGTAGCCTGTGCTATTATCCACTCAGCTTTAGAGCCCCTCTGACAACCTTGGCGTCTTTTCTCTGTGCCTACCCACTCTATGTTCCAGATGGAAAACACCATCAAACAGTCTGAGAATGACTTAAATAAGCTGCTAGAGTCTACCCGGCGGCTGCATGATGAGTATAAGCCACTGAAGGAACATGTGGATGCCTTGCGCATGACTCTGGGCCTGCAGAGGCTTCCTGACTTGTGTGAAGAGGAGGAGAAACTCTCCTTAGAGTAAGCTGCCTGCCCCCTGTTCCTGCAACATATTATACACACACGTGTATACACACACAAAGCCTGGCCTGAAAGTCAGAGTACCCAGGCCTGTCAGTGGCTGACTCTTTGCATGATCTTGGGCAAGTCTCTGTGCTGGGCTGTTATACCAGAAGAATAATGATTAGACTAGAATTATTAAATGGCTGTCAAAACTCTTCATGCAATTTGACAACACAATTTTGACAATACAAGATTAGGTCTACGTCTTAAGAGGCCAGTTCCTAAGTCAAGGTGTAGGAGGGGTGTCCAGAAGTCTTTGAAAACACAGAAGGCTGAGCTTTCATGGTCTCTAGGGGCAAACCTTAGACTTTATTTCAAGAGCCAGAGTCAAGAACTAGGCTAATCTTACAGAAAGAAAGAGTTTAGCTCAGTAGAAGGAAGTGTTTCCTAAAGGTAGAGCAGATTGCTGTGGAAGTGATGAGTTTCATACAGAGGTATGTCAAAAGAGGCCTGAGGACACATAACAGGAATACTACAAAGGAGCATAGGACTGAATGCCCTTTGAGGACCTTGCTAGCCCTGGTATTTCTTGATCTTCTGGTGCTGTCAGAGCCAAGAAGCAGGAGGATTACCCTTTCCAGCAGACAATGGGCCTGGTACCGAGGGAGAAGAGCCTCATGCTAGGGAAGGTACAGGAAATTTCTACAGTGAGTCATAGCCCAACCCTTGGTTCTGTGGCATGACACATGAAGTTTTTAAGAGGGGCAAGATTCTCCTTGCTTTCAGAATGATCCAGTCATTGTCTCTCATCTCCAAAGTTACTTTGAGAAGCAAAAAGCAGAGTGGCAGACGGAGCCTCAGGAGCCCCCCATCCCTGAGTCCCTGGCCGCTGCAGCCGCTGCCGCCCAACAACTCCAAGTGGCTAGGAAGCAGGACACTAGGCAGACGGCCACCTTCAGGCAGCAGCCCCCACCAATGAAGGTGAGTAAGCTGGGTAGGGGCTGTGGAGGAAGCGATGTATCCTACCAGGAAAAGCACATGGAAGGTTGGGTCTGGGGCTTTAGCCTTATTTATTTTTGGCCTTCCTTAAACAGTCTTTGCTTGGACACAGAGGAAGGGATGTGTGTGTGCTGTGTTGAACCCACTATGCTGTTGCCCTATAATCTCAGAGGGGTTAGAATGCAGAGAGATTGGCAGGCCCTGCTAAGGTATAATTTTTTATTTTATTTTATTTTATTGGTGGCTGGCTGGTACAGGGAATGAAATCCATGACCTTGGGGTTATTTAGCTGTGCTCTAACCAACTGAGCAAACTGGCCAGCCCCCTAAGGTATAATTTTTTTTTTTAAAAGATGACAGGTAAGGGGATCTTAACCCTTGACTTGGTGTTGTCAGCACCACGCTCAGCCAGTGAGCAACCAGCCATCCCTATATGGGATCCGAACCCGGGGCCTTGGTGTTGTCAGCACCACACTCTACCAAGTGAGCCACGGGCCGGCCCTAAGGTATAATTTTTTAAAAGTTACAAACGTGACTCTTACATAAGTATATAGTAAGCATGTGTCATAAATTAAGGAGCCAGCAGGATTACAAAGCTGTTTCCAAAAGCATTTGAGGAACAGATATTTATATAGCCTGTAAAGGAAAGGAATGCTAAAATACATTTGCAGAGTTAGATACAGAACTACTTTATGTCTACAGGTCAATAAAACTGTGACGTTTATGGTTATCTATTCTTCTGAACAGAAATAATTTGCATCTCTGCTGGGCAAAAATCATTTGTAGCTTATCAGTGTAATATCACAGAGTCTGGGCCCTAATCAATAGTAAATAGTCAAACAAAGGGACATTCTCCTAGAGCAGAGGTCAGCAAACTACAACCTGCAGTCCAAGTCTGACCCGCTCTCTGTTTTTGTTAGAGTTTGATTGGTACACATGTATGCCTGTTTATATATTGTCTATAGCTTCTTTCATGTAACACAGAGTTGAATAGTTGCAACATTGACCATAGGACATGAAAAGTCTGAAATATTTACTACCTTGGCCTTTACTGACCCCTGCCCTAGAAAACTAAATAATCCTTAGGTATGCCTGTTAGACAATGTTCCAGTATAATGCTGAATGGATATGTAGTTCACATTTTGCCTTATTTCAAAGTTTTGGATACTTTTTCTCCATACCCCTCTCTGACCTTGAATATCCTTTACTCTCATCTTCTGTGGCCTCCAAGAGCACTGATCTGTCTACTTGGATCTCACTCACTGATTACTGCTCCCTACTGATGGGAAATTGCAATTGCTTTCTGGGCCCCTGGGGATCAGAAGTCTGAGCCATGGCCTAGAAGATTCTGACCACAACTTTCTTTTTCCTGTGCCCTCTACCAGGCCTGCTTGTCATGTCACCAGCAAATTCATCGGAACGCACCTATATGCCCTCTGTGTAAAGCCAAGAGTCGGTCCCGGAACCCCAAAAAGCCGAAACGGAAGCAGGATGAATGAAGAGAGGGAGAGCACATGGAGCTCTGCTGATCTTAACCCCTCCCCTTGGCCAGAGTGATTGATGTCCTGATGTGAAACAATCCTTCCCTACCCGTACCAAGTCTCCTATTTAATGTGATGGAAGCACAACTCCTGTCTTTGCTCTTATTTCTTTCTGCTCTTCAGATTTCAGGTGCTAATGAAACTGTGTCTGATGATCCCTTCTCTCCCACCCACATTTCAACCCCTGCCCTTGTTTAGAGGTGAAGGAAGGCAAAAGGCCCAGATGTGATTCTCTGTCTCTTGTGCCTGAGGCCTGGATCCTAAGGATCTGTAGGGTCTGAGGGCTGGGGGAGGCCTATACTGTTTCAGGTAAAGGCTCCAGTGTTTCCCCTCCCTCTACTTTTGCCTTAGGCTCTGAAGGGATAACAGTCTTTTTGCTGATTTTCCCGACAAGCTGGGTGCGTACATCTCCCCCGCTCCCATCCTCATCTCATCTTTAAGGTCCAGAAGTAGCTTGGACAAGCCCTCCTTTTCATATCCATTTGGAAAGCCTGGATGTTATTCTATAGCTTCCTCCCACCTCCCACCTAATTCTCCCTGATATACTAAAGTTCTTAGGTACCAGGCTGTGTGTATGGGGATCCTGAGATCTGTGGATCTTCCCCCCATACCTCTAGTCTTTGCATAGAAGTAGTAGAAGTTCCACACAGTGAAAACAGGGAGCCAGACCCACTCTATAAGTTCTGCCCACTCACTGCCTAAGTAAATGGGGCTTTGGGCTCTGCTATAGGGGCTGCTTCAGGCTGAGAGGAGCCCCAGACTGACACCTGTATTGGCTTTTATTTAAAACTCTGGCACCTACTCCACAGTATATAACAGTGGGGAGAGGAGTGGATTTAGATTCAAGTACATGCCAATCACTTTACACATGCAGGTGGTGGGAATTTCGTTCCTTTCATCTCTTCCTCTCTTGGCTCTTGGGTCTGCCCTCTCCTGTAAGGCAGCCTCAGCTCAGGACAGTTCCTGTACACCTCTTTTCCTGTGTAATGTGTGGGTGGTCTTCCTTCCTGAAAGAAAATGCCCCAGGCTCCCAGAGCCCCACAGCTCTCCTCTCCACCAAAGCCAGGTCTCCTAGTCAGGTCACTCCTGGACTTAAGGGATGGGGATGGGGGCTGGCTGACTGAAAAAGTTTTAGCCCCAGATCTTAGTCCCTGGCTGTGCAAGGGGAATACTTTTCCCTCCTCTGTTAACTGTAGTTTTTCATTGCCATAAAAGGTTCCTCTGCTCTTTGAAAGTAGGAGTGTTATGTCCATTCAAATCCTCTCAAATAAACATCCATTCATTGGAGTAAATGCTGACTGAGTGCCTATTGTGTACTGGATCATACAAAAGATGTATTGACATTTTCCCTTTGGGGTAGCTCATCTTCACTTCACCTTACAAATGAGAAAGCCAGGTACCACAGCACAATAATTTACCCAGTTATCATAATAACTTCCATGTATTCAGCACTTACTCTATGCCAGGTCCCTATGCAAGGTGCTTTACATAAATGATCGTATTTGATTTTCAAAACGACGTTACAAGCTAAGTATACTTATTACCACTTTTCAAAAAAAAAAAAAAAAAAAGGAAACTGAACCTCAGAGAAGTTAAGTAACTTGTCCAGAGTTAAACAGCTAGTCAGAAGTTGTTTCAGGATTTGAACCCAGATTGCAGAGTTCATTTTTTCCTACTTCTTCTCTATGATCATTTTTTTTTTATCCTTTCTTCTTTTTGGTATGGCTTGATGATGGGCGTGATTGAAATAACTCTGGACCTGAAAGCGGGGACTAGGTATCCAGTGACTGATGCAGGGATAGAAAGACATGGTCTCCTATATGGATACAATAGAGAACAACTTTGAAGGGGCATCCCAGCTTCAGAGCTCCCTGTAGGGTGGGATGAGGTTGCCATTAAGACTGTGTTACAGTTCAACATCTACCTCTATCCAATCCTGCCTCCTTCCTTTCTCTTCCGTTTGCTTCCCTTTCCTTTACTTCCCTCCATGAAAGTTGATCCCAAGGGCTCCCTAATTAATATCCTGTAAACTAAACTGTCCCAGTGCTTTACAGGGAACCCGACAGTGGACAAAAATCTCTCTGTGTCTCAGTGTCCACATCTGGAAAATAGGGAAAATAATAGCACCTACTTCATGTGGTTGTGAGCAATCCCAAGTACATAGTAAGCACTCAACAGGTGTTAATTTTCTTCTCTTTCCTATGTCTCTGGGTTCAGATAGATTGGATGAGTGGTCAAAAAAATACTGTTTGTCTTGCCTGATATTATTCCATCAGCCCAAGTTTTGTTCAGCTACAAGGCTGTTTTTGTTTTTTGTTCAGCTACAAGGCTGTTTTTGTTTGTTTGTTTGTTTGTTTTTTAATAGGCTCACTCTGGGCAAAAGGGGGGCACTCAGCCAAGCAAGCTGGAGTACACCATAACCTCTATAGGCCTCAGCGGGTCCCTGTAAAGTATTGCTCTGCATCCTTGGCACAATAGAGGTCAGATCTGTCAATTTTTTTTTTTTTTTTTTTGTGACCAGTAAGGGGAACGTAACCCTTGGCTTGGTGTCGTCCACACCATGCCCAGCCAGTGAGCGCACTGCCCATCCCTACATAGGATCTGAACCCGTGGCCTCAGCGCTCCCAGCGCTGCTGTGCTCCCAGCACCACACTCCCCCGAGTAAGCCACAGGGTCGGCCCAGATCTGTCAATTCTTTTGCAGTAAAAATAACAAGTCTCGATTTCTGAGCACCACTAGCCAGGCCAGCCAGTTTCCAGTGATGCTCTGAATGGGAAGGAATAATCATGTGTGCACCTACAACCGCCAGCCACACAGTGGTGCACTACTACCTCATTGCGGATGGTGTAAGGGCGACAGATTCAGTCAAAATTTAGAAGGAGCAAAAGATCTTCTGTGGGAAGGAAGAGAAGAAAAAACATGGCCAGGATGAGTGAGAAATCTTATTCCGGATCCTGAGGCCCAGAGTCTTCTTTCTCAGGCTCAGCAAAGGACAGATATAAAAGTACTGACTAGAACATTTCAAGCCTTTAGCATTAGGAGAAGCAGTGCACGCTTTTCAATTCCCCTGGAATCTACAACTGACTCTTAGCCCCTGGGCAATGTTACTTTTGTCCTTAGGGTTCAAAGGGCTACCCCTTACGGCAGAGGTATTTTGCCAATTGGGAACTGTGATTTCCACAATATACTCAGGTGCTAGGAGCCAGAGTATTTCTTTCAAGAAGACTTCCCACATGAAAGTTGGCTGGATTGGCTAGTGTACAGAAACAAAGCCCAGGCCTGGCTGAGGCATGAAGAGAGATTTATTCCTCACACAACTGTGGATGCCCCTTTGATACTGGTACAGAGACTTTCCTTCAGAGAAAGGACTAGAAGAATGAGCACCAAACTTTTCCCAGGGGACCCATTTAGACATTGGGATAGGGGTTTATGGTAAATGGGAGGAATTATAGCTGGGTAACTTTTACTATACTTTATACTTCTGAATTGTTTTATTTTTAATAAGCATGTTTGAATTTGTGAATAAAACCAGACCATGCTTACCACTCCACACCCACTAAAATGACTAATATTAAAAAGACTGGGAACTTCCACTGTCGTGCACAGTTGCCTCTGAGCAGCACACTGTCACCTGGTGACTGGAAGCTGCCAAAGTCTGATGAACCAGGGCTCACCTGCACTTTCCAAGTGGCTTCTGCAATTGCCTGGAGCCAACTGGTGAGCCCTCTCCTAAGAGACCCAGGGCAAGACCTAAAGGCAGCAAAAACAAGAGTCCTGAGTGCCAACCAGTGGAAATACGGCTCCACGTGGTCCCCTCAGGACCCAGGCAGGTGGGGAGCTCCAGGACATGCCCCCATGCCCTGAACTGGTTTTGCACAGGTGGGCATGCCAGTGCCAACCAGTGGAACTGCATGGCTCCACACAGTTCCCTCACCTGGCCGCCTTGGACCCAGGTGGAGGGGCGGGAGCTCCAGGTATCCCCCCATGCCCTGAACCAGCCCCACGCAGGGGAGCCTGCTGGAAGTGGCTGGCAGCAACACCAGCCAGCAGAACCACATGGCTCTGTGTAGCCCCTCATCCTGCCTCAGACCCAGGGGGAAGCACCAGCCTATGGTTCTGAACCACCGAATTTGGCCCAGCAGAACTCCATGGCAATAGGGGCTCATTCTATGACTACAGAGTCTTGACCGGGAAACAACGTGGTTTAACAAAACCACCACCACACCTACTGTCAAGCAAAGACAATTCACCCCCCACAGTAGCAACCAAAGCCACTCTACAGTCAACTGCAGTGTAACAGAAGAAGCAAACCCCCTACCAAATGACCAAGCATCAGCAAAAAAACACCAGAAGCACAAACAATCAAGAAGAAATGACACCACCGAAAGGATACAGTAATGCCCCAAAGTCAGACTCCGTGGAACAGGGAATCCTTGAAATGTCTGAAAAAGGATTTTGAGCAATGATCTTAAGAAAACTTGAAGAAATAAAGGAAGACTCAATTAGAGAACACAATGAAACAAGAAAAAACACCCAGAATATGAACGAGGAAAACTACAAAGAGATTAATACCTTTAAAAAGAGTGTAGCAGAACTTCTACAAAAGAAAGACTCACTCAATGAAATAAAAAACACGACTGAGAGCTTGGTCAGCAGGGTAGAACAAGCAGAAGAAAGAATTTCAGAGCTGTTTGAAATAACTCAGGCAGACAAAAACAAAGGAAAAAAGAATTTAAAATAATGAGGAAAATTTAAGAGAGATAGCAGACAACCTCAAGCGTTCTAACATCCGAATTGTGGGTATTCCTGAAGGGCAGGAGAAAGGAAAAGGTATTGAAAACCTACTCAAGGAAATACTAACAGAAAACTTCCCAGGTATAGGGCGAGATACAGACCTTCAGATCCAGGAAGCTCAAAGGTCCCCAAACAGATTCAACTCCAAAAGATCCTCCCTAAGACATATTATAGTTAAATTCACAAAGCTCAAAGACAAAGAGAATTCTACAAGTAGCAAGAGAAAAGCATCAGGTCACTTATAGGGGAACCCCCATCAAACTAACAGCGGACTTCTCAACCAAAACCCTACAGGCCAGAAGAAAGTGGAATGATATATTCAAAATACTAAAAGAAAAAAACTGCCATCTAAGAATTCTTTACCCAGCAAGGCCGTCCTTCAGAAATCAGGGAGAAATAGTGTATTTCCCAGATAAACAAAAGTTGTGGTAGTTCACCATCACACAACCAGCCCTGCAAGAAATTCTCAAGGGAGTCATTCATCTGGAATCTGAATAATGGTGACCACCATCACAAATACACAAGAAAGAGCAAAACCCACAGTTAAAACAAAAATGCCAGCAAGAAAGAGAAAGAAGCTAAATCATTCTGCCTTAAATTCCCAACTCACATTGAAGAAGAGAAAGAAAAGGGGCAATAACAATCAAAAGATATTTAAACAACCTAAACAAGTAGCAATCAAATGACAGGAATTAAACAACACTTCTCAATAAGTACTCTGAATGTGAATGGACTAAACTCCCCACTCAAAAGACACGGACTAACTGACTGGGTTAGAAAGCTAGACCCAAGTATATGCTGTCTTCAAGAGACTCAACTCACCTGTAAAGACACTCATACTAAAAGTGCAGGAATGGAAAAAGATATACCATGCAAATGGAAACCAAAAACAAGCAGGAGTAGCTATTCTTATATTGGACAAAAGAGACTTTAAACCAAAAAACTTTAAAAAGACAAAGAAGGCCATTATATAATGAAAAAGGGAACTATCCAGCTAGAAGACATAAGAATCATAAATATGCATGCACCCAATACCAGAGCACCCAGATATATTGAGCAAACACTCTTAGACCTAAAGAAGGAGATAGGACCTAATACATTAATAGTGGGTGATCTGAACACCCCTCTCTCAGTATGGGATAGGACTTCCAGGCAAGAAGTCAACAAAGAGACACAGGATTTAATCTACACCCTAGACCAACTGGACTTGGCAGATATATACAGATAATTTTACCCAAGAACTAAGGAATACACTTTCTTCTCATCAGCTCACAGTACATTCTCCAGGATAGATGACATATTTGGTCACAAATCTAGTCTCAGCAAATTTTTTAAAATTGAAGTCATTCCAACAATCTTTGCAGACCACAATGGACTAAAACTGAAGATAAAGAATAAGCAAATTGCTGGAAGCTGTACAAACACACAGAAACTAAATAATAGGCTCCTGAATGACCTATGGGTCCAAGAAGAAATTAAACAGGAAATCAAAAAATTT